ATTCTCGAAAAATTCATAGTAATTTTCCAAAAGTCCTGCCATTATCCTGCTCACTATTTCTTGTTCTTTCATATCTTCCACATCTGTGTAAATGCTAGGAATAAAAATTCATAGAGTTCTTAAATCACAGTTAAAGTGAGAAGAGACCAATGAGTCACTTTATAAACCTGAGCAATTTATGTCATCATACTATGCTTCAGTTTTCCCATCTGTAAAACCAACCTAATTTGTACCCTCTTCACAGAATTGCTGCAAGGATTAATCAGAACTACCATAAAACATGGTTCAACAAACAAACCATAATCCTTAAAAGACAACATAATGGCTCTATTTCACAAATCCAATATTTAAAAACTAAACAAATGTTTATGAAACAACTTACTGGAAGACATCTGGACCAAAGACATCAGCCAAAGAATTTGCAGACCAAATTTCTTCATGATGTGATGCTACATTGGCTAAAAATCTACACAGAAACTTTAACAAACTGTAATTAACAGGTGGAAGCTGTTGCAAGAGGAACCTCAACTTTCTTCCAAATTCATCTTCATTATTATAATCTATAAAACATAATGACAGGTTTCTTAATAAAGTAAAAAGGAAAGCTCAGATATTTTGCCAGGTTCACATTACTCCACCCACATCACCTTTTTACTATAACAATTCAAAACCTCTGCACTTCCTCTACTACAGGCCAATGCCTTAGGGCTTTGCATTTCACTTATTAAGGGGAGGAAGAGATGGAAAAGAAGGATGTGGAGCAGAGGAACTCAACTTTTCAACTGCCAGGGGATGTTTTTCTCATCTGTTATGTGCTGGCTCCAATTCTCTTTTTTATTCTCATCATACGATCTCTTACATGATTGTACTTGTGATTCCAAACTCATGCCAACTATAAGAACTCAAAATACACTGTCCATGCCAGGCAACATGAATAGTATAAGCCAAGTACAGGGACAACTGGACAAGCCAACAGTATCAATGATACTATTCCATTTAGGTTAATGGGAAAACAAGGAATAAAAAGTGACAAAGTTTATTTTTCTCCCCACTACATTCTGAAAAGAATATTAACTTCAGCAACCTCAGTAAAACTAAATTAAAGGCTGCTCTATTTTTTAAAATTAATTTTCTATTTTAAATTGATGTTTGTTTTTCTGTATTTTTATAGTACAGGGAACTCAACCCAAGGCCTTTACACTATATGCTATACTCTCCTTTTTTTATTCTGAGTAAGGATCTTAAGTTGGCCAGGCTGGGCTGGGGTTTTTCTGTTATTGTTGTTGTTTTTTTAAAAAGTAAATTTTAACACAGAATTTAGGCCAGTGAGTTTTCATTAACAGATAGGAGGCTTGTATTAACTCCAATGATAGATGAAGGCCCACTCAGGAGAAGGAATTTCTTTTTCTTTTTTTTTTTTTAAACAGAACCGGGGGTTGAACTCAGGCCCTTGTGCTTGCCAGGTAAGCACTTATTCCATTGAGCCAGATCCCCGGCCCAGGAGAAGTAATTTCTTAAATATTCTCAAAATGAAGCAATTTATTGCTTCAGTAGTAAATATTAACCCAATTATATTTCATTTTGTATCTTTCTCAATATTTTCAATGTTAATTTCTGGAAAAACAGTAGGTAAAAGTTTATGGTCATGATATTAGCCATCTTTGCAAAATAACCTAAGTCTAGAAAGTTTAGCAGAAAAGGGTATAGTCACATTAGTTTTACATAAAATTTAAATTATAACCAATAACAACTCTTCTGCATGATCATGTAATTGTGTGAAACAGTCCCAGTGGTACTGTTCTGTCATCTCCGGTTTTTCTATGTATTTGGTACAGGGTCTCATATGCAGCTCGGACTCTTAGTGATTCTCTGGTTTTCAGACTCCCCAGCACAAGGATTACAGACATGCCCTATCATGCCAGGTCTTTGTGGCCCACCCACGCCTGGAGGGTGGGGCAGGGCTGGCGCAGCAAGTGGTGCTGAGATTGAATCCTGATCCCTGTGCTTGCCTAAACAGGTACCCTAATCTCTGAGATATTATACTTGTTAAATACATGTCAAGGGACAACCCACTCGGGCTCCCCTCCTATCCCTCTCTCAGACAGGAGCTTTCTTTCCCTCAATAAATATATTCTGCTCATAAAAAAAAAAAAGTCAATTCCCAGTACCAAAAAATACATAAATGTGTGTATGTCTCTCTATCAAGATTTCTAGGGTGTAGGTCTGAAAAACATAATTTTAAGTTCAGCCTTTAAAACTGGTTTCTCCTTTCTCACCTGCTACCCTGCAGCAGCAAAGAACTCAGCAGGAGAATGCAATAGAGCGGGCCTGCCTGAGCCACAGGGCTCCAACCCTAACAAAAGTGCACACCAATACCAAGTATTCTGATAACAGGAAGAGGCACAAAGGGAACACACTTACTTCCTAGGTGGCTACTGCGTAGGCTCCTTTGTATGTATTACTTCAACAACTCTATAGGATTATCATTACTATTTTAGGTTTCTTTTCTCCAGATGAAAAAAACGGGAGAATAATTTTTCTAAAATCGAGCAGCATTAACAGCAGTTATAATAGTCCCTCTTTACCTGCTGGGGATATACCTCAAGACCCACAGTGGAAAAGCCAGTGAGATAGTTTGGCAGACTAAGCACCTGCTTAGGCAAGCACAGAGACCAGGGTTCGACACTGTCCCCCAACACCATATGCCACCTGGACCCAGACATGCCCCCAGGCATGCTGAGCCAGCCACTGAGACACACCCCACCTATAAAACCAGCCCTGGGGAGGCTAAAAACAGGAGGATCGCTACCAGTCCTACCAAGACCCACTATGTATGTCTAAAATCATAAACAGAACTGAACTATACATTTTTTCCTTATATATACATACCTATAATAAAGTTAAATTAGGCATAAGAACCTAACAAAAACAAAATACAATGATTATAACAATGTATTGTGATGAGTTATTTAAATAAATAAAAGTTATTTAGTCTAAAAGGTAAAGACTAAATAAATTACTTATCAAAAAAACTATTTACCTTGAGAAAGGTGCATCAAGTGAATATGCAAACTGCCAGGAATAACAGGTTCAGGAAGTTCTTGAAGGAAAAACCTAAGGAGACTAATAGCTGAAGGAATATCTGCTTCCTTAACCAAATCCACCTCTTCTCCACTGTCGTATCTCTGCCGAAGCCACTCCACTGTCTCAGCATTTCCATTGACTTGAAAAAGCCCTTGCTGCTCCAGACCGCCTATGTTAGATCAAGATAAAAATTAAATAAGCTGCAACTTCCAACAACTTGCCCATATATATCCATCTTCAGCCAACTTAAAACAGTCATACTTCTAGAAAGCCTTTCTTGGTTGGCTCTCCAGATTTGGCTAAACACCTTCAAATTGGCTATCTTGAAACATACTATCTCTGAAGGATATTCTATTTTATCCCACCCTTATATCCATTAATAATAGTTCTTTCACCCCCACTAAAAAAATATTCTAGTCTGGGCAAATGTCACTTCTAGATATACCAATTTAAGTTAAAATCACACTAAAACCTTAAAAAGAATTTTTATTGTTTTGCCTATATTTTGCATTTTCCGTACTTAAAAAAAATTTAAAAATCGAAAGTCAAAAAGGGATAAGTTGTGTATATTAAAACAAAAGCTAGCCCTCAAAGTAAAGAAATGTATACCATGTTCCTCAATATAGTCCACAACGTGGCGGACTATGAATGGAACCTCATTGTCTGGATGTCCTCCCTGCTGCAGCTCATCAAGTGGAATTCCAAATATTTTGTTAGCAAGAACGGAGTTGCAGTTACTCAAGGAAGGGGAGGAGCTCTTCCTCATATCTTTTTTGCAGCCAGAAATCAAAGCTGTCTTTTCTGCCAAATGAAAGACAAAAAAAAAAAAAAAAAACGACTATAATGATTAACAGGTGGCAATATGACTAAATACATTAAAGAAAAATGCTTTACACCTGAACGTGTTTTAAAGTATGTTCCAGTAATCAGGCCCATGGTGCATTACACAAATAAAGCCCAATATAATTATCAAAGCATTTTCTCTGCTGTAAAGTTAGTTCTAAAGGCTCCATGTAGTGTCTGCATTTTTGACAATGGCAAAATTGACTTCAAAATTTAGCAAAGAACACTAATATCCAAAGACAAGGTCCTAAGACCTTAACTAACCAAGCTCATTAATGACCCAGGTAAAAGCCAAATCTAATCCATCTCTGAACTCTGCTACGTGAAGCTCACCTAATCCTTCAATTGATAAATACCCAAACATGAATCACTTTAGTAATGAGCAAATAGGAACACAATTCTTATTCCTATAAAATAAAGCAGCTAATAAAAAAAAATTTTTTTTAAATTTCTGGATCTCAACTTTTAATGAGCAAACTCCTTTTATCAACACTACTACTTCATGATTACTCAAAAAAATTATTTTTCAGTCACGTGCAGTGACATAATCCTACAATCCTAGCTACCTGGGAGGTTGAGACAGGAGGATCATAAACTCAAAGTCAGCCTGGGAAATTACAAAAGACTATGTCTCAAAATAGTGGGTTTTTTTGCTCCGAATGCCTTCAAGGCATGACTGGCTGGCTTGAGTTGTGGGGATCAAACCACAGCAACCTGACCCTGACGGCTTTGTTGAAGCAGCCACTTAAAGAACTGAGCTAAGGGGCAGGCCCCCTATGTCTCAAAATAAAAAAGGCTCAGGATTCAATTTGGTGGTAGTGCTTGCCTAGTATGTGCAAGACCCTGGGTTCCATTCCCAGTAGAAAAAGAAAAGGAAAAGAGAAAAGAGAAGAGCAGTGAAGAGCAGCACAAGGCACAGCAAAGAAGACATTTCCAGCTGAGTCTAGTTCAAAAAAATAGTTATTTAGGGACAGCGACTGGGGTTCAATCCCCAGTGTGCTATGCCAGCTTGGGCAAGTTGAAAGGGCGACTTGAGACTGGGCATGGTGGCACATGCCTACAATCCCAGCACTGGGGAGGCTCAAAACAGGAGAATCAATCCAAGTCCAATCTGTGTAATGAGACCCTGTAGACCCTGTAATACATTTTTTTAAAAAAGTTATTTGTCTTAACTGTTGGATTAGTAAAGAAGCAATAGCAAAAGCCTATGCTTTGGGGGCCTGCCCCTTAGCTCAGTTCTTTCAGGGCCGGGGAGATGGTTCAGCAGAACAAGCACTTGCCTGGCAAGAACAACGGCCTGAGTTCAATCCCCGGTTCCGCAAAAAAAAAAAAAAAAAAAACCCTATGTTTCAGATGACCCTTTCCAATATGTAAAACATGATAGAATAAGAAATCCCAAGAAAAAAATTCACTTTCTAAAAATAAACATTTTAAAAATATTTATTATTGGGAAAAGAGTATATTAAGAGAAAAACTTTTTTTCAAATATTGATAATGAGGACCATCAACTCAGCAGACTAAATACCTACTTAGTCCAACACAGGGACTTAATTCAGCAGTTAATCTACAAAGAAACGGATCGAATATGGATTCGATCTCTGACACCACATGTCACGCCAGCCCAACCCCTGGGCCCAATGAGTCACCAAGACCTGTCGTAGTGGTGCACATCTGTAATCCCAGCGCTGGGAAGGCTAAAACAGGAGGATCGCTACGAGTCTGAGCTGCGTAGTGCAACCCTGTACCAAATACACTTTAAAAAAAAAAAAAAAAAGATAATGAACAAAATGATACCAACTCCAGATCACCCAGTAGATCTAGTTAAGATTCTAAAGTTTACAAAAGTAAGTCCCACTGGATCAATTGTATACTCACTCCCTGGATCAAGACAGGAACACAGCATGACTAGAAAACAATTCAGTCAATTTACATGAAAGGTAGAAATTAATTTAGGGACGAGACTAACATAAATGTACATAGTCTTACAAAAGCAATTTCCTTTCTTCAACAAATTGGTGCCACCTAATAACTACAAAACTCAGTTACAATCAAACAGTAGCTACAATAACTGATACTAAAACACAAATAAATAAATAGCTAGCAGGGGGCAGAAACTCCAAAAATGGATTTACAGCATATCAAACAGCCACCATTTTGAAGACTTACCTCTGAGTACTTAAACACCTAAGTTTAAAAAATGGCTTCTGCACCAGCTACCCTCACTGAGCAAGCATTCTTTTGTCATTTATGGTTGTTTGAGATTATGACAGAAGATCAACCTGTAGTTCCTCATTGAAGAAACGCAGAACTCGATCAGTACTTCAGCAGTTAATCTAAAAAAAAAGAAAAAAGAAAAAAACCAATTATTGCAATTTCCCACATTTTTAACTGTGCAAAGAGACTGGAGTAAAAAGTAAAATCCACTTATGAAGTTACCTATTTTGTTTTTTAAAATGATGATCCATGCTTTATATTTTTATTTTTTGGCAGAACCAGGGATCCATGCTTTTTATTAGTACAGAATGATTACATTCATCATAGGGAATTGGTATGTTCACATAATACATCCTAATTCTTTTTTCATCCAGTTTGCTACTCTCTCTCTCTTACATACTTCTGTCTCTTAGTCTCCTTCCCTTCTGCAAGAGTACTAGCTCCCTGCTTCCTATTATCTATCTTTTATTCTGCTGTTTAGTTATATATTGGGTTCTATAAGAGTACCCATGTTATAGTTAAGCTTCTGTGTCTAACTTATTTCATTAACATTATGGTCTCAAAGTGCATCCATTTTCCTATAAATAACTCAGGTTTATCCTTTAGGGCAGAGTAGTATTTCACTGTGTGTAAATGCCGCATTTTCTTATCTACTACATTCATCCATTGAAGGATAGGCTGCTTCCAAGATTTAGCTATTATGAATTATGCTATTATCAACATGGGCGGGTTTACATTTATCACTGTAATATGATGTCTTTAACTCTTTCAGGAAGATACCTAGAAAGGGAAGAGCTGAGTCAAATGCAATTTCTATTTTTCATTTTTTAAGGAATCTACAACATTAGCTACTTTGAAAGGCATTTTTTTCTGCCTGAAAAATCAGTGACCTAGTTAAAGACAAAAATCTAGCAAAGGCTTGAAATTATGGCAGCTAAATTGGTAAGAAACTTCCTACTATAGAAAAATAAAAAAGGACTTTCAAGAAGTAATTTTTTACTACCAAGATTATGCCACTGACACGAACCATTGTCCTCAACAGACACTACGTTTGTACACAAATAGCCTGCTCTTCTCCATTCCTGCCTCATTTCCTCATATGCTCAAAACTAAATTCGAAGGATTTGAGATCAAAGAAGCAACACAACAGTGACCATTTTGAGCTTTCAGAGTTGGAGAACCCACAACAGCTCATTCAGAAAAAAGACAAAAGAACAGAACCTCGGGGGCCAGGGAGATGGCTCAATAGAATAAGTGCTTCCCTGACAAGCACAAGGGTCTGAGTTCAATCCCCAGTTCCACAAAAAAAAAAAAGAGAACAGAACCTTAAAATAGCAAGCCCGTGGGGAAAAAAAAAAAAATCATTCAACATAAATTTACATATTCATAAAGAAATAAAATTTCTATTACTTTGATATTTCCTAACTAGAAAAAGAAAAAAAAAAAAAAAAAATAGCAAGCCCACCATTTTGTAGCTGTGACCCAAAACAACTTCCACTGTCTCTCTGCCATATGAAAATACTTACACAGCTATAAAGTTTAACTGAAATTTCAGAGAATCAATCTCTTTTTTGTATAATGCTAAAGGACTAGTGAATATGCTGAGGGAAAAACTGTGTTTATTATTTGGCCTCATCAACCTCTGTTAAGTCTATTAACAAATCTTTAATAAGATTAGTACACTGTACTGCAGCATTCTACTCAAGCTTCAAATGGGTAAGCTTGAAAATGGGTAGCAATCTAAGCAAAAGGAAGACCACATTCCCACAACAAATCTTTTACTAGATGATTAACTTTCCAAAACATCCTGAAATGCCTGATGAAACATGTAGTTCATCTACCTGTCTATTCATTAAAAAAAAAAAAAAACACTTCAAAGTGAAGTTATAGCCTGACGTGGTGGGCACACCTGTAATCCTAGCACTTTGTGAGGCTGAGGCTGGAGGATCACAAATTCAAGCCCAGCTTGGGCAACTCAGTGACTTTGTGAGTCCTATCTCAAAACAAAACATAAAAATGAGTTAAAGATCTATCTAGCTTAGTGCAAAGGCCCTGTATTCAATCCCTAGTCCCAATTAATTAATCCATCAATAAAGTTGTATTAAGCATCCTTTATAAAGTTTAACATTAAGGACAAGATATTTCATGAACTTTAAAAGTCCAGTTGATACTCACATGACATAAAGGGGATTTTCTTGACATACAATGAATGAAAACTCATTAGAAGATTCTGTCAGTGGAAGTGTACCCCCATGGTAAAGCACATACTCTGTATGTCCAAGATCCTAGGTTCAAACCCCAGTAAAAATAAATATATCCTTAAAATAGCTACTATAGGGGGCTTGCCAATTAGCTCAGTTATGGGGTCGGGGAGATGGCTCAGTAGAATAAGCACTTCCCTGCTAAACAAAGAGCCTGAGTTAATCCCCCGTTCTGCCAAAAAAAAAAAAAAAAAAATTTAGCTCAGTTATTTAACCACCTGCCTGGGCAAACTCAGTGAGGCTTGCAGGACTGCAGTTCATTCCCCAGCTCCACATGCTACACCACACCAGCCATTAAGGCAGCCTGAGCCCAGAATCTTCTAATGAGTTTTCATTCATTGTATGTCAAGAAAATCCCCCTTGGCGCGGCCAGACGCCAGCGCCATGGAGGAGTACGCTCGAGAACCTTGGGAATTCAACACCGGTTGAGAGGCAGTGTTAATGCTGTGAGGATCCGAGCTCCCCAGATTGGAGGTAGCTTCGCAGTGTGGGGGGATCTGTTCTCCACCATCAACTGTGGCCTGGTGCAGATGCGGGGCAAGGAGGACCCCTGGAACTCCATCACCAGTGGAGCCCTGACGGGGGCTGTGCTGGCTGCCCGCAGTGGCCCACTGGCCATGGTGGGCTCTGCAATGATGGGGGGCATCCTGCTGGCCCTCATCGAGGGTGTTGGCATCCTTCTCACTCGCTACACTGCCCAGCAGTTCCGCAATGCACCCCCGTTCCTGGAGGACCCAAGCCAGCTGCCCCCTAAGGAGGGTACCCCAGCCCCAGGCTACCCCAGCTATCAGCAGTACCATTGAGGAAGCTGCCTGACACTGCGCCACCATGGGAACTTCCTCTCGGTCTCCTCCCCGATGATCTACCTCGAAGGGAGGGCTGGCTCCCAGTTAGCCCTGGGACCCTCCAGAGAGGGCCTCTACTCTGCTCCCTGTCCCCGGGTGGGGATGGGGCACCCCAGCTGCCCTGACAGATGGGTCCCCTTTTTCTCTCTCAGAGCACCCCAGCCCCACACATGTAACAAGCTCTTACCCCAGCTCCTTCGTGTGGCACCCTGATGAGTATTTAAAGCCAGTTTGGAAATGCGTGTGTACGTACTTCTTGAGAGGAGGCCCATACACCCTCGCCCCAGGGCGTGCGGGACAAAGGGACAAAGTGAATCCAGTATGTAAGGGTGTGTTCCTTGCGGTGAATCCAAGTGGATGGAGAACCATGCCGGGGAAGAGTGCAAAGACACTTGGTCACTGGAGTGTGGGTGGTCCTGACTGCAGCCCTGGTCACACACCAGCAGCTAGCCCTCCTCCCCAAGCCCAGGTGCCAAGGCTGGGGAACAGCCCTCTGGCTTCCTCAGAGAAGGAGTGTTCTATGTCAGTTTCCCCTACCACAGAGACACTTCTGCTCTGCCATTCAGTTGTCAGGGTTTGGTTTTTTTTTTTTGAGACAGGGTCTCTTTTTTATTATTAATTTTAGTTTTATTGAGAAATATGAGACAGTTTCAAAGCTGATTAACAGTTTCGATACTCAATACACTGTACATTGTTATCTTCTTAGTGGTTATCCATAGTACAAGAAGCAGACAGGATATTCTGTCCAAACACTGTTAGTACACCTCTTTCTTCTCATTGAATTAAGCGAAAGTAGCTGTATATCTATCCTATTTTGTATATATAAATACAAAATGATCTTTCAAAAAAAAAAGAAAATCCCCCTTTATGTCATGTGAGTATCATGGTGGGCTCAGGTTTTTAAAAAAAAAAAAACCTTCTCAACTTTAAATAAATAAATAAAATAGCTACTATGACCAGGTGTGGTGGCACACACCTATAATCCCTGCATAGGAGGCTGGCTGAGACAACAGGATTGCCATGAATCTGGGAAGCCAGCCTAGGGTACAAAGTGAATTCAAATCCAGCCTGACCTACATAGTGAGACACTGTCTCAAAAAAATATAAGTAAATAAATAAATAAAGCTACTTTGACCTGAGTGTGGTACGGCACCCCTGTTATCCCAGTGCTTAGGAGGCTGAGGCAGGTCAACCTCCTCGAGTTTGAGGCCAGCCTGTGACATAGTGAGTTCAAGGACAGTCAAACTAATAATAGCAAGGCCTATCTCAAAGAACAAAAGGAACAACAACAAAAAAACTTCATTAAATTCAACATTTTAAAATTGGTGAACTTTATCATACACAAATTATACTTCAATAAAGCTGAAAATTCAAAAGAGGTATTACATAAATAAGGACAGAGCATCACTATAAAACTTTTGCTTTTTTTAAGACAAGATCTTGCTACATAGTTCAGGCTGGCTACTCACTATCTAGCCCAGAATGGCCTTGAATTTGCAGTTATCCTGCTGTACCTCCCAAGCCCTGGGATTACAGGCATGTACCACCATGTCCAGCTACCACTGTGTTTTTTATAATGGTATATGATTTTTTTCTGTTTGTTTTGCAAGACAATCTCTTGCTATGTAGTTGAGGCTGCCCTCAAACTCAACAATCCTCCTGCCTCTGCCTCAGGAGTGCTAGGATTACAGGTGTGCACCACCATGGCCAGGTAATAGCCTAAGACATTCTATAAATACATTTTTCTACCACAAGATTTTTGCTACTGTACTTTAAGAACCCACCCTGAAGGCCCCATATTAACCAACACACTGAAAACTCAATTTTCTATAAAACATATCTATGTAGCACAGAATTAAAGGTACATTAAGAGCCAAGCATAGTGCCACATGCCTGTTATCTTAGCACTTTGCAAGGCTGAGGCAGCTGTTCAAGGACAATGTAAGCTACATGCTGAGTTTAAGGCTAGATTAGAATATAACAAGATCCCATGGGGTGGGGGACAGCTGCACT